CAATGGCTGGTGTGTTGTTGTTTTGTTGTATTTTTTACCTTCTTTAAAGGATTTAAGGTCATCACAAAAACGACACGACATGACTTTCTTGACTGAAATAATTATATCCTGAGGAGAGTATGATAAGGATTCAAGTTCAGTAAAATATTCACGTTGGGTAAAATAGAAAGTCGCTTACTAGAACTATAACGTGAGTAGTTCTACAAACCATAGAGTTTAAACCAATAATCAGTATATAAATCAAGATAGGCAGGATACATAGGTTTTAAGGTATCAATTATTTCATGGTAATACAGCGAAAATGTTGTCTTTCATAAGTTAATTTGAATAGTAATAACAATAACAGATCAYACGTATATAGTTTGAATAATTGGACGCGGAAGTATGATGGGTTTCCTGTCTTAAATTCAGGCACAGGAATCCCAATTATCAAGGAGATGTGGTTCAGCGTCACGTAATCTAACAGTTACTGTTTTTATTGTSTTTTTGTTGTTGTTGCTTTCCTTCCTATTTTATATGTCAAACTATATACACGGCAAGTCAATCAGGCGTTTGTTTACGACATATAGGCTTAATTTATTCATTTATTTGTAGCATAACGGACACTGCAATACTGTCACGCTCACAGTTGATACCAAATATTCACACTGTGATACAGCATCAGTCCCCGACATAATACGATGTCGTGACCGACCACTTTATGCAGCAATATCTTTATGAATATCAAAGATGTTACGCTATGTATACGTATCTGCTCTGTCATGCAATGAAACGATTTCGGGACGTTTACAGATTTTTTTTKGGTTAGTGCGCTAATTCCATTTGTCAGAACTATCTGGCCAGDCCCAGAGAAAATGTCATTATATATCATTCCCATTTAGTTAGGAAATTCAAATTTTCAAATTCTATCCATTATTCTACAGAAAACCTCGAAATGCCTGAAGAATGTTGACAAAAAGCATTATATACCTCTAAGTAGAGTGGACTGGCCGGCCGGTTCTGCCTAAATGGAAAGCACCCTAACTCTTCAAGCGATGTTTGAAGAGAAAATCACGCTTGGTGTTATATAATTGTTCTCTATACTCCCAAAATGGCTTAATCTGTCACGCTATCTGTCAACTTCTTTATCTCCGTCTTCTCCATATTTATCAGTGCATTTGATGACAATTTTTTGTTCCAGTTTCATTTTTTTTCAATCTTCTTTATTTTTTMCCTTTTTCTCTTTCCTTCTTTCTGTCCTTCATTTCTTATTTCATAACTTTTGATAGAAATAACACAGAAATTTGCATCAATTCATGATTTAATTGAACCCAACACCTTATTACAGCATGATTAACTTATTCTAAATCCAC